TGATTCACTAAGTTGTGTTCGTCAAGGGTGCCCATTGTTATATTTCCATGTTTATGTTAGAACTTCAGAGCATGATAGAATCTTCTACTCTAAGAGGTATATCAGTCGGTCATGAGTTTATGGAAATAATGTTATTATTATATTCGGATGATTTGTGTTTAGTTGATGATAGTGTCATTGGTTTGCAGGGGAAGATAGATATTCTTGACAGTTTCTGCAATAAGTGGGTTCTTCAGGTTATTTTAGATAAAAAAGAAGTCATGGTCTTTAGAAATGGTGGTATACTTAGACATTATGAAAAATGGTTATTTAGTGGCTCTCAGCTAAAGGTTACTACTTATTATGATTATTTGGGTATTTTGTTCTCAAATGGATCGTCTTGGTCAAAGTGTGTAGATACGTTAGCTATCAAAGGTAATAAGGCTCTATTTTTCATCAAAACGCTACTTTTTAAGTTGTCAGTACTGCCAGCTTATATCTCATTCAAATTGTTTGACATTATAATTAAACCTGTGTTATTGCATGGTGCCGAAGTTTGGGGATTTCAGAGATATCCAGTGCTAGAATCATTTTGTACTAATTTCTGTAAGTTTGTGCTATGGGTTAGCAAATATAATTCTAGTAATGCTATTTTGGCGGAGTGTGGTAGATAGCAACTGTATATAGATTATCATGTTAACTATTAGTGCAAACTTTTGAGGATGGATAATAGTAGGCATCCCAGGCAGAGTTATCTTTTAATGAAACGACTTGACGGCTCTGGCGGAACAACCTGGGCAAGTGGTGTAAGGCAAATACTTGGTGATGTGTGGCTGTTTCAGGATATTGGTAATGTGGATATGTTTTTAATGCTATTTAAACAACGCATATGTGAATGTAATATACAGGTAATTTTTAATAACATAAGTACATCTGATAGGTTAAAATATTATCTCCAGTTAAAATCGTGTCATGAATATGAGAAACTGGGAGTTGAGGAGATATTTATGTTTGCTCAGATTAGACGAGTTACCTATTCAAACAACTATTGGTCGTAGGCAGGGTATAAATAAATGTTTGTGCTTCTGTAAGAATTGTAATGATTATGTAGTTGAAAATGTTATACACTTTTTGTTTGTCTGCCCAATGTATAATTTGGTAAGAAGAAAATATATACCATCTAGATTTTCTGATAACCCTACTACTTATTCTTATAAGTTACTAGTATGCAGTAAAGATCATGAAATTATTCTAAATGTAGCAAAATATGTTAAAACTTGTTTGCCTCTCCGCAATTTATAATCATTGTCACTTTCACTAAATCATCAAATATTATTGTTCAACGATGTACATGGGCCGATGGCCTAAAAAACGAATAAACGATAATTTTAGTATTTAAGAAGGACTAGTTAAATCTCTTCTGGGGTGCTACGTTTTTGGCAGATATAAGCGGCTGAGAAATATTGATTAGCATTGAAATACATGCCCTATCATTTTAATCCCAGTTGGACGATATGTTTCAGAGAAATTGAGTTTAGTTCCATCACTGTTGAATACAAATCTACTTTTCGAATGAAATGTGATAAACTGCTTCCTGAAATTGTTATTTTTATTTGTGGATAAAAGAAAAGAATGTGTGGAAGTCAACTTTTTAATTTTAAGGAACACAACATTTTAAGAATGTTCTCAGTCCATTATGGAGTCGGTGATTGTTTGATTCTTTATTCAGTAACGACTTGGGCTACATGCCCCTCGTCATCATTTTACACTGTATACAGGATACAATATGGTTATCCATTGAAATATACATTGGTTATACATTGGCTGGACAAAACATGTTGGTTCTTACATGCATAACTTAATGTATTTACATAATTTTGCTATACTATGTTTAGATGGATTTGTTAATAATTGTAAAATTTCAGCATACTTGGTTTCTTCCAAAAATAAGGTTTAATAAACTGTTTTCAATGTACATGATGTTTGGGGCAAATTAGAATGAAATTACATTCATCTTCAATAACATTTACATTATTTTCTTTACAGTAGATACAATATCTTTTCTCCCTATCAATATTTTCATAACGCCCAGTTTCATTTTTATATTTATGAGTTTGAGTAGGAATAGATTTCGAATCTCCTCGTATATGTGCATCCCTTCTAAATACTATTCAAAGACTTATATTGTGTACACGCTGAATTGGTTTAAACAGTCTCGAATTGAATGACAAATTAAAGGTGTTACTAGCTGATTAATCGTCATCTGCTACGGTTTGGTTCAAACAATATCAAACAAGGTATTATCTGTCTCGGTGTTTATAAATAGTAACAAAACAATTACCAACGATTCGAAAACTGCTTAATGAATCTGGCTGACAAAGGCTCTAATTAGCATCATTAAGAACAACAGATACGTTACAATGAGGCTTACATCTCTAGGACTCACAATCCACCCCGTGTTATCGCGTTGTTTGTAATGAGACCTATTGTTCGGAGTATCGCTTATTGGAGTATCCATGGCAACGTTAGTTTGTTGGCATTTAACGCAGTACTCTGAAACAGGTAAAAGCGTGTGTAAGTGGCATCGCTTGCATAAAAGTTTACACTTTTGATAGATCATGGCTGTGGTCTCCGCCAAACAAGGTATGTTTCTGTCACACATATTATCTAAATGCACAAATGTAACTGGATATTTGTCAAGTTTAAGCCTCTGCCTGTGAATAACATAGCGGTTATAATGTGAATTAATATAGTGATATGTCTCGAATGCTTAAAGAGACTTATCACCCATGTTTTCGATTTATAGTTTAGATTGAGAATTCCGGAGGTCGTATTGAAAACGCACCAAGATGGTTTTATAGTTTTTAATTTATATACTATCAATGATAGATAAATGCACATGGTTAAACGCAAAGTGTCATGAAATATTCGCTGAAAATAAATGACACCTACATAAAAAGTGCTTGTTTTTGGTTAACCGTAAGGCCACATGAGATAAAATTCTTGTTTCTCTTCTTTTCTTTTAGAAATTGGTTAGATAGGGCGGATTTCATTTTTATTTTGTAATAAATTTGTTTTCTGATTTTCTATACAAAGTCGGAAGCTGAGACGGATTTCGGAAGTCTGCCAGCTTTATATACGCAAATGTACCAGTGCGATAAATAAAAAATAGGGTCGGGCGGTATTGAGAAACAAGAAATTATTTTAGGTGGCCTAATAGTAACCACCATGTATATATAAAGTCAATATATCGTCAGATTATACTTTTTCGGACTTCATACATTTTCGGGCGTTTTACAACGAGACATGGTAAATACTCCGATGTTGGCTTGTGTTAAAATACAGTTGTTTTTAATAACATGCTTTACAATTCTTGCGATAATCCAGAGAACTATATGTGTTAAGCGTTCGAGAACCAACAACCCGGAATATACATATAAATCTATATACTTGTCGTAAGTTCTTGGTCAATTAATTCCAAGCCACTCAGTTCTGCAATTTTGGTATTGTTTACATTTGTTAATGTCGTATTTGGTGTTAATGTATGTGATGTTTTGGTGTATACCTAGATGGACGAACAACTTGTTTATTGAGGAGCTGGAAAGTTTCTTTACAGAATATTGTGTCGTTGTCAAGCAGGCATGAATCAGGTAGAAAACAGGGCTTTATATATACAGTGTTATCAACAAATGCAAGAAGAAGATAATAGAGAAATACAGCGATGTTTGACAAGGGATTACATCTGGGATGTACAGAGCAGAAGTTGAGCATGTTTTCACGACCCCACCCCTGTCCCCTAGCCCCCTGTTGTTGCAGGCTACTAATTAGTACCTCTAGCCCCTCGCCTGGCTGTTTTTTTGGCTGTATTCACTCCCCTGTAACCGGATTAACTGCTACTATTAATTAACTCGTTAGGTCAGGCGTTGGTTGTGAGAAGGTGACTACCGGTACTTGGTATAGATAATATAGAATCACGGCTCAGTGATCATTATTGATCAGTAGATGATCCCTGTTGCTAATAATTTGACAAAACAAATATGAAGATTCTATATTTATATACATTCACAAATATATTAATTCAGATCGTAACACATTCTCTGAATGCTGAGTCAGATCAGTTGTTTTTACGCAACATACATAATGTCCATCGTATGTCCAATGGCACACAGGTATGAGTCAAGATTTCTTTCACATAGCACGTACTCTAATCATTGTACTCTACCTATTGCTTCCTACGTTTGGGAGCAGCTGTACTTGCTGGAAGCTTCCTCGTGGATAAATAAGTACCGGTAGTCACCTATTCACAACCGAAACCTAACCTAACCAGCTTAGTAGCAGTTAATCCAGTTACAGGGGAGTGAGTACAGTTAACAGAACAGCCAGGCGAGGGGTTAGAGGTACTAATCAGTGGCTTGGAACAACAGGGGGCTAGGGGGACGGGGGCTACAGGAATGATGCCGTTTTCACAAGCAGTTTCTACCGGTTTCATACCTGCTTGACAACGATAAAAATCTGTAAAGAAACGTCGCATCACCTAAATAAAGAAGTATTTAACATGACGCTTGACCGCGGGCTGACCAGGGTCATGAGATGAGGCCAACCGAATATAGTTGCGTATGATAATCTGCAGTGGACGAATATATAGTATTTTGGGGTAACGTATACAGTATTGTTTGATATATCAAGCAACGGTATTGCAACAACCAGCACAGTGTGAGTAATCGTGCGTACATGCCTGCGTGTAAACGCTAACGCTAACACACACACACACACACACACACACACACACACACACACACACACACACACACACACACACACACGTGTCAATGCGTATTCTATATTCCTTGCCTTATTATAAACACAGGCGTGGTGGTTTGGAGATCAGAATGAGGGAGAATCGTTGGGTCCAGCTATATATATTACTATAGGACATAAAAACGCTTTAGCACAATAGATCCACACAAATACCTACCCATGATTGCATATTTCAAATGGTCTATTTACAGGATGTCACATGCCCAGTGACGGTCTCCGCATAATCGATCCCTACAAGACCAGAAAATACCATTTGGCCTCCGCCATGATGAGCCTTCGGTGGGGCAGTGTGAAAAATGCATTGTCTACGTCTAGTAAGTGTCCAAAGTACAGCCGATTTGATTAAAACGCAATATTGTTTTATCAATTTCTTGGCGCTTAACAATATTCTAGCTATATGACGGCGGCCTGTAAATAATCGACTCTGGGCCAGACAATACAGTGATGAACATCGTGAGCATCGATCCACGCAATTGGGATACGATGACATGTGTCAACCAAGTCAGCGACTCTGACCAAACTCGTTCCCATAAGTCGCCTCTTACGATAAGCATGGGTTGTCCATGACCAATTCTAACCCGGATCGGGGTCTTCTCCCTTACCCAACTCCTATTGTTTCAGTAGAAGAAATCACTGGGGTGTGATAATCCCCTTAATCCCTTATTTTGTTCCCTGTGAAATAGTATCCGGCACCCGTAACTCCTTCTAACACCTTCTGTATTATGTTGTTGTGTACAGGCCCCTATTTCTCGAAACAAACTTTAAGTTTTTACTCAAATTTCAAACTGAGTTGGACAATTTGAAACAGATGAATTTTTAACTCAACTGCATTTATTAAATAAAAATGCCCAAACAACTTAAGTAATCTATCCACCAAACTCAAATTGTCTACTATGTTTGAGTTTAATATCGATTTTAGTTCATTCTGGGAAATGCGTTTTCTCAAATTTGAGTAAAAACTCTAACTTAAGTCGAAACTCAGACTTAAGTTTGTTTCGAGAAATCGGGGCCAGGTCTGTTTAGCACTGTTCCTAACCATGATGGCATGTATACAACATTCGACGATTGCCGTATCGCCATGGTCACTTTGTGTTGTGGCTCATTATGAAAACATGTAAATATGTTGGAAAACCAAGTTGTATGGATAGTTAACTTCTATATTGCAATGAGTACGACGTTACGGTGCAGGTACTCACCGTATAAACTTCACTGCAATAAAGAAGTTGACTATCCATACAACTTGGTTTTCTTTCATCTTTACAACTTCTAAAATGCCCTTCAATGAAATGTAAATATGTTCTTGCTTGTTACATGAGGATCCATTTTAGCCCTCTAACATCGCCTGGTGTTTATGCTGGCATACGGATCTCTTGCATACAGTAGCTCACCATGAAGACACCTACTCGACGAATGTAGCCGTCTTCTTGTCTTTGGAACTACTAACTTGTCTTCTCTTTATCATGACTTAAGTTCTGTAAGCCAACCCTTGTGTCCTCTTAACACTTTTAATATGTGCATATCGTCCACGAAAGCATACTTGGTACATTTGCTTACATTTGTTTTGTTCCAGGGCAATGGAGACTGTTACTCAACAAGCGCGTGATCCTCGTGTGTGTGGTCTTCATCTGGTTCGCGATGCTGCTATTCAGGAGCTCACCAGTAGAACCACACGACTCGGAAATCAAGCTTCTGTATCGTCAAATATCAAGAACTCTTGTCAAAAACAATTTCTACGGCCACGCTGACATTTACAAGTCCATGTGGTACTTTGACCCCAGGGAACGTATCATCACGCCCCTGGAGTTCCCCTTCATCATAGATGGCGCTGACGTCTGTGGACCGAACGAGACGCAGCTTCTGCTGGTGGCGGTGATGTCTCTGCACAATAAAACAGAACAGAGACAGGCAATAAGACAGACGTACGGACGTACCGCTAGAGGACACTTTTGGCCCGGCAAGAAGTTGTTTGGACCAGTGAAGATGGCTTTCTTTTTCGGCGTCAGCAACTCGTCGCGGGAGAACCATATCATCGAAAAAGAAGCAAAGCTGTACAATGATATTGTGCAAGTCAATTTCACCGAATCGTATTTCAATTTGACATACAAAGTGTTAATGGCAATTAAGTGGGCGCAGCAGTACTGTGCAAAAACTGCATTCATTATGAAAGCAGACGAGGACTCATTCATAGATATACCACGCATGACGGACATATTGCTGTCCATCAATATGACCAACCAAATCTACGGCCACTTCCACTATGACGACAAAGTGCAGAGAGATGGAAAGACGAAGGTGTCTAAAGACGCGTACCCCTTACAAAGGTACCCGCCACATGTGAAAGGGAACATATATGTGATGCCCACCCCGCTAGCAACACGCATTATGCTGCTGTCCCAGTTTTTACCATACGTCAACATGGAAGACGCTCACATCACCGGTACTCTCGCCAAGATCCTCGACGTCAGACATTACGACATCCCCAGAGATCAATACAACCCTTACGGTGGCCCGGACGTCTGTGACTTCGCTTTAAGCAGGAAGATCGCAGCTCAACAAGTAAATGCATCGGTTGCATATCGGATATGGGATGCTATTGAGGATCCGACGTTGTGTTTAACGTAAAGGCAGTGTTGTCATGGAAGCCATTTTGTGACAATATATTGCTCAAGAGCATGGGTTATGTGTGGACTTCGGATCCACTGGAAAGGATCATGGACCTAGAGTGTGTGAAGGCACATTGGCAGGGTATGGTTTCATCGAGAGCTGGTGTCACTTTTCTGGCGAAATTAAACCCACATCTTTTCCCAGAGGACAACAAGTGATCGGGGAGATATTTATCATCAGGAATCTTGATGCGGAATCGGTAGTTTAATTTAAATTATATATTTACTTATGCTAAAACACTTTGATGAACTTTTCACTCTATAATGACGAAAAGGCTTGATAAAACCGATGCATGAAAGTGTGCAGAGACGAGTACAGAGAAGTATTTATTCTAAAACCACAAATCTCAGGTTGGCTGCCTCTGCTATGCGTGAGCCCAGGTTTTTTCGACCTCGATCGATATGCTAGAATATTCAAACAGTTCTTCGCTCAATATCGTTGTATCTGATTCCGTCCAATGTAGAAAACATTAAAACCCTTCAACGTGTAATGTTTGGAGGACGAATACAGCTTGTGGAAGTTCAATAGCGGCACATAATGACTCAAGCACAAAAGAATCATGACGTCACGATGACTGATGGGTGTCAATCTGTATGACGTCATCATGACCGATATCACTTTTCAGTATCATGAAAAGCATTAGTGTATGTGTTGAATACCGCAAAAATTGATCATATTTTACATGCAACTTGTTTTTCATTGCATTGAAGTCTTGTCCATTAATCTGTACCCGTTTTATTAAACTGTTCTATGTTCCGAGTATATTTTTCTCTGTTGGGGATTTCTTCTCTCACTGGGTTTTGGTCAACTTGTGTTATCCTGTGTTTGTGTCTCTTGTATCTGACTAATTTATGCATTTCCAGAACACATTCTCCGTACTGTAACGAACATCACAGCTTTATGGATCTGCTTCTTGTTTGATAGATAAGGACAGACTTTATGGATGAACAACTTCTTTATTCAGGTGATGCGACGTTTCACAGATTCTTGTATCGTTGTCAAGGAGGCATGAATCAGGTAGAAAACAGGGCTTTATATAAACGATACATAATCAACAAAAACCAAAAGAAGATATTGGAGAAATACAGTGATGTGATGAAAAGGGATTACATTTAGAAACCTGTGGGATGTACAGAGCAGAAGTTGAGCATGTATTCACAGTTTCTACCTGTTTTATATCTGCTTGACAACAATACAAGAATCTGTATCGAAACGTCGATCACTTGAATAAAGAAGTTGTTCATCCATAAATGTTGTCCTTATCTGACTCTCCAACTTCTACAAATGCCACTCAAAGAAGACTTCTTGTTTACTGAAATGGTGTGGATTCCTACACCGTTATCAAGCTAAACGTGACTACAAGTGACGAGCTGCAGAATAACAATAACTATGCTTGATCTGAAACATGTAGCATACAATTGGATGAGGCCAGCTGGAAAATATGATCAACAAATACTACAGGTTCAAAATGCACATTGTTGAAAGTAATCTATGCACTTTCTGTGGGGCAAACCTGAATCAATAGTTCATCAGTTCTGGAATTGTAGAGCAAGCAAGGCGTTTTGGCCCAAATTCTCATATTGGCTGAAGCTCAACTGTGTACACACAGGTACTTCATATCTTCACTGTGATTTTATTCTTTTTGTGTGTTCACACACATTTCATACAGGTGATACTTTTGATTTGATACTACTACTAGCCAAATATTATGTTTATAACTGTAAGCATCGAAAGATAATTCCTATGTTGTCAGACTTCATTAAGGAATTAAAGTATTATCTTGTAGAAAAAGCCAGATATTGGAATAAATCCAATTTTAATGAATTCGAAGGCAAATGGGCAATGTACGTAAAACTTGTAAGTTTTATGATAGAGAATGCATGGGTATGAATGAGAGAGCGAGTGATATGTCTTTTCTTAATCGTGCTCTACCAGTGCAATGTGTACAAATAAGCAATAAAAATAATACTTCACAAGACGCTCAAGATCAGGTCTTCACGCAAAGGGCATCGTATCCAAAAGTATTGAAAATGAGATTAGACTTTTTCAAAGTAATATTTTCTAAAATAATAAATGTTTGAGATTTCCATGAAATTGTATACTTTAGCTTCACAGGTAAATCTTGGTAACATTGTAGATATCAAAATATGAATCAAAATGTGAATAAAATAAAAAAATTAAAAAATTAATAAATAGTACCAGTCATTTAGTAAATGCACTGAGAGGATTAAAGCGGAAACGCCGTTCCCAGTGACTAACTAATTGCCAGCTAAACGCACCAGCGACCTAAATATTACCGTTCCGCCCAGTAACAGTACGGAAGAGTTATTTTCCAGGACATTTGTGCTTCGCCAGTGAAGACGTCCCAGGGGAAAGGGGAGGCGTGATGTCAATTCAGGGCATTGAGCAAATGGATGTGGTTAAAATGATATTCCAGCAATATCACTGGGGCACCAGAGTAGGCTTATAGCAGGGACAATCCAGATTTTACACCAACGAAACAGTATTCTGTTTTCTTAAATATTTCCAGGGTTTTAAATATGAAACCTTTACCATTTGTAAATATGTAAATTTTCAAATGTTTTTATTTTACCTCAATTCTGATTATCAAGGGAATGCATTTGAACAGTTTGTGTGTACTCACAAAAACAACATGCATATGATCATAGATGTTTCTGCTATGTGAAACAAAACTTCCAACATTGCTCCACGCATTGGTATATTTTGACATATCTTGAAACATATGCCATCAAGGCTCATATGACCTTATTTCCTTATAACGCTATGTCATCGGTTCCCAATTGCGCAGATCGATGCTCATGCTGTTGATCGCTGGATTGTCTGGTCCAGACTCGATTATTTACATACCGCCGCCATATAGCTGGAGTGCGGCGTAAAACTAAACTCACTTACTCACTCCTTATAACGCTAAGGGTCTGACTGAGTCAAACACGATTTGCATGCTGACACATGCCTCTTTTCATTTGAATCACGTTTCCCTTCACCCGCCAGTTCTTGTTGGATGGAACCGCCTCCGTGGTGTAGTGGTCAGAGCGTCCACCCGGAGAGCGGAAGGTCGCGGGTTCGATCCCTGACCGCGTCATACCAAAAGACGTTAAAATATGGTACTTGTTGGTCCCTGCCTGGCGCTCGGCATTAATGGGTACAACAAGGACTGGTCGGCTCGGAGTCAGTATAATGTGTCTGAGTGGGGTATTCATGCTTCACTGCGGCATGGTATCTCAGTGGGCTAGCACTGTAAAACCAGCTTCAGTCTGGGCTAGTACAAGCAGCCGCACATACATATACACACGCATGCACGTCGTCATATGAGCGAAATATTTTCAAGCACGACGTAAAACCCAATTTCACCTCACCTCTTGTTGGATGGGGCACAAGCGTTCAAGAACCATGTGTTATTAGTCACATTGGGTACTGACTGTTTCTTTGGGTAATGCACGCAGTATAATTTATCAAGAATACAGGCATGTTACGGTGTACATATATGTTGTGTTTCTTTTAATATTATTATACATTGTATACCAACTGACCAAACATTATAATGATTCCTGACCTGAAGATTTGTTTCATTTGCATTTGGTGTTTCCAAATTACTTACAATAGTTCATCCTCTTAGGGCTGCGGTGGGGTAGCGTATTGGTTAAAGCGTTCGCTCGTCATCACGTTCGTTCGCCGAAGACCTGAATTCGATTCCCCACATTGGTACAATGTGTGAAGCCCACTTCTGGTGTCCCCCGCAGTGATGTTGCTGGAATATTGCTAAATGCGGCGTAAAACTAAACTCACTCACTCACTCACTCACTCACTCACTCACTCATCCTCTTAGGACTCCGGGTTCGAATTGGTCTTCAGCAACTCATGCTTGTCGTAAGAAGCGACTTAGGCATCAGGCTCGTTGACTTGATTGACACATGTCATCGTATCCCATTTCCGTAGAACTATCCTGGTGATCACTGTATTGTCCGGTCTGGAATCGGTTCTTTACAGACCGCCATATAGCTGGAATATTGCAAATAATACATTGAGGCAATATGGAAGAAGCCAAGTGTTCATGAAAAGTAATTGTAAATTGAGCTTGTCAATCGCAAGGGTGTGGTTTTATATCATTATGTTCCAATCGCTGAATTGTGTCACTTAAGACACACCACTTCCGGATTCGATACCCTGAATAGTCAACCATATTTCAGATGTGACAGCTGTTTCCCATTGTCTTCACCAACATCAATGGAGCGTAGTGCTGTCCCATATGGCAACAGTTTCCCGGATATATGGAATTAATCACGATATCGATCTTGCTATAGAACGCAGAAAAAAGCCTGGCAATTCTAAAAGGCCCTGTTATTTATTAATTGTCGACCAACTGACAACCAGCAAGTATATTGTTCATGATTCAGTGGAATAATGTACAGTTAAATTTCATGATATTCTGTTGTTGTATTCTTGTTCATTCTCAGTTCAATATCATGACATTTGCAACGCGACATTTCGCCCTTTTGTCGCATTGTCGCGATGTCGCGTGTCGCGTTTTGAATAATATTTTTCTATTCCTCCAAAGGGAGTCACGCGACATAGCGACAATTTTCAAGGTCAAAATATGTCGCTTTGTCGCGCGTCGCCCTATCTAATATGTGTAAAAAGAAGCCTAAAAAATCACTAAAACGCGACATTTCGCCCTTTTGTCGCATTGTCGCGTGTCGCGTTTTAGTAAAGTTTTAGGCTGTTTTTACACATCTTACATCTTTTGACCTTGAAAATTGTCGCCCTTTGGAGGAATAAAGAAAAATATTATTCAAAACGCGACACGCGACATCGCGACAATGCGACAAAAGGGCGAAATGTCGCGTTGTCGTGATGTCACGTGTCGCGTTTTTGGTTAATTTTGCTTGTATTTGAGAGGGCGACAACGCGACAATGTCCCTTCCAGGATTCCATACGTAACAGACGTGAAAGACATCTAGCTGTAGCTGACTATCGTCATTATTCCATCGGCTAGAGGCTGTGAACCTTGGAGCCCTGATTGTTTGGCCTCCGCAACCTGCATTGTTACATATTGATTCATAAGTTGGAACTAAAACGTTAACCATGAACCAGTGTGATTGACATTTTAGAAGTTGGTGAGCAATAAGAAAGTAAGATACTCTAGAGATAACAACATCTGTATTATATATGATGCAACGTTTCGGTATAGATTCTTATACCGTTGTCGAGCAAGAGATAAGAACCTATACCGAAACATCGCATCATATATATTTAAAAAAGTTGTTATCTATAAAGTATCTTTCTTATAACCAGTCTATAAAAGAACTAGGTGTTTCCCCCCAAAGCCTCATAATTCTCAAAGGCGGTGGTGTAGCCGAGTGGTTAAAGCGTTGGCTCGTCACGCCGAAGATTCGGGTTCGATTCCCCACATGGGTACAATATGTGAAGCCCAATTCTGGTGTCCCCTCCGTGATATTGCTGGAATATTGCTAAAAGCGGCCTGAAACTAAACTCACTCTCTCACTTACTCACTCAGTTCTTAAGTTCAGTTTGACATTTAGCCATCAACTGATAAATTGTACATTACGACATCGACACTTTATCAGCTGTTGTGGGCATGTTAGATCATGACGGTAAACGATTTACATAAATGGGTGATAATATATTTTTGTTGAGTGAGGGAGGTTTCTTTCAGCAATATTCCAGCAATGTCACGGCGGGGATCACCGTATCCTGGTTTCACACACTGCGGGATCGAGCTTTAGGCATAACGTGCGAACACTTTATCCTTCAACGTGGCCACTACCCTCATTCAAAAATCCATCTTAAATACGTTGGGGTTAACGTCATACCCCAGATTGTTGCACTTATCAAGCAGCTTCCAACGTGTGCGCGTGCATGTGTGTTTGTGTGTGCGTTTTGGTCAGAGCTAATACCCTTGTGTCCTCCCCATTATGCCGACTATCTGGCAGCTTGGTATGAAGCAGCTGGGGATCGAACCTTCCACTCCTTACACAGACGCTGTATCCACTAGGCCACATAGGCGGTCCAGTCACATCGATGTTTACCAAGACGACGTGTAGATAATGTAATAACAACGGAACATTCATTACAAAAACATGTTTATTCACAAACAGACTTTCCCAAAACACATCAGACATTCAGGGCATAGATAACGTAGAACCGGTGAATGAGTTTTAAGCCGCTTTAAGCAATATTCCAGCAATATCACGACGGGGGACGCCAGAAATGGGCTTCAGAAACTGTACCCATGTGGAGAATCGAACTCGTCTTGACGAGCGAACGCTTTAACCACTAGGCTACCCCACCGCACCAGATACTACAAACGTTGCTCTCTAAGGATGTAAGAAAGCTAAAGCAACATCCACTTCATACACTGTAAATATATCCGCTTAGAGATATCATTTCCGATAGGGGGCGGTGGAGTAGCCAAGTGGTTATACCGTTCGCTCGTCACGCCGAAGGCCCGGGTTCGATTCCCAACATGGGTACAATGTGTGAAGTCCATTTCTGGTTCTAAATGGCCTAAAATAAAGTCACTACTGCGAACCAATCATTTAAATATATGTGATAAATTCGCGTTGAAACTCGATCCCGTCAGACGTGAAACTTTGACATTTTGGACCCCAACACCCATTAGTATGAACCTGGTTAGACCAGTAACTTGGTTAATCCGGACACCGCCATCGGGACTTCCAATCAGTTTAGACCTGGTGAGACCGGAAACCTCGTCAATCTGGACACCATTAGTCGAAATTCCAAGAACTCTAGATCTGGTTAGACCGGAAACCCCGTTAATCTGGACACCGTTCGACGGAAAATCTCGCTTTCCGAACGAAGTTGGAACTACAGGGAACAAACGGATATGCTTACGTTTCTGAAATCAGATGACAAAAGCAATCCAGTGGGGATCGGAACCACTTGACTTTGTATATTCTGTATATCAGACCCGCAAAGATCCGGGTTAGAATTCATCTTCAGTAACCCATGCTTGTCGTAAGAGGCGACTAACGGGATCGGGTGGTCAGGCTTGCTGGCTTGGTTGACACATGTCATCGTATCGCAATTGTAGAGATCGATCATGGTGTTGATCACTGGATTGTCTGCTCCAGATTCGATTATTTAGAGACCTCCGCCATAAAGCTGGAATATTGCCGAGTGTGGCGTAAAACTAAACTCACTCACTCAGTTCTGTATATCATCATATATTCGATATAACATGGCGCCATTCACAGAACGTACATTGGAAGTCATGTCGGTGACATGGTTACATGGTGGGGTGTTTTGATTAAAGAATGTATTCATTTCTAAAAATGTGGCGAAAATAGCTTATTATCCTCCCGATCAGCGAACATGATGAACTGTCCTTGAGCTTCTCCCAAACTCCATGCATCATCTTCGCTGTATATTGTTGTGAAACCACCTTGATCCCATTAGCGATCTCACAAAAGGTCGCAGATATATTGCGATCATAATAGGCTTCCGGTAAATCAACGTGGCGCAGTCCGTGAACTTTGGCCAGGACCCCTGTGATGAACGCATCCTCCATGTTCATGTAATGCATGTAAGGCGCTGTGTGAAGTAGCCGGACGGCAACGTCTTTCTGCATGACGTATATATTCCCCTTGACGTGCGGCGGGTAGATCGGCGGGAAATAGCTGGATTTGTCAACGCCGTATTTCCCATCTCTTATCGTAAATTCGGAATAAGCAAACGGTCCGAGAATATGTCTGGACCAATCGGAAGCATACAGCTGTGATATGAAATATGGCACATTCACGAACACATCCTCGTCAACTTTCATCACAAACTTTGCATTTGGGCAATGCTTTTCCACCCATCTATACCCCATGAGAACTTTTAATGTCAGGTTCGTGTACGCTTCCTTGAAACTTGTCTGAACGATGTCTCCTTTAGACAAAGACTCTTTCCTCAACTCTTGATTATACTTTACACTGTTGTTCCCGAACAAGAACACCATCCTAACATCTACCCGTTCCTTAAAGCCAGGCCATATTCCTCCCCGTGCAACGCTACCCCACGTGTCCCTGATCGCGTCACGTTGTGACGTCATTTCCGGTATCGATAGCACCATTACTAACAGGAATGGTCCTTTGGAATGTAAGCACACATGAGAGTTAATAAGGAAATCGTAATCCAGGAAGATCTTTTCTGTTAACGACGGAACGAAATAGTCTTCATATGGCAAGAGTCTTGGGTCGCCGTAGTAGGTGTTGGTGGAGGAGTGGATGACGCAGATGAGGACGACGACGGCGATGCATACTACGCCCGCAGTGGCGCAGCGCCGTGGTGTCAGGCGCATCGTCTCCCGTCGACACCTGGAAAAATGAAAACGCTAAGAATTTCACATAATATAGACCTGATCTTATTCACACACTGTCGAGACCGGACAAGTATACTTGTAAAATCTGTCCAATAAGAGTTAATCACTATCAAAGATATACATCAATAACAGTTGGATGAAGAATGAGGACAATTTTATGGATATACAACTTCTTTATTCTGTATAGGCGACGTTTCGACATTGATTCTAATGTCGTTGTCAAGCTTCCTTAGAACCTATGTCGAAACGTCGCCTATACAGAATAAGGAAGTTGTATATCCATAAAATTGCCCTTATTCTTCATATCCTGAATTTCTGGAATGCCAGTCAAAGAAACAGTTGGATGTACAAGGCTAAATATTGATACCGGTCGAAACCATAAAATTTCAAAATCTGAAAGTGTGTGTACACATTGTATCTTAAACAATAAGTCCCGTACCGTTTCACCCTTATTTGTTCATCTTTAATAACACTTGAAAGCAATACGTACTTAATAAATACTTAATTCGACCTTAAGTGCAATAATTTATTCGCCTTATGGCATCCACAAACTACAAAGATTTCAAATCTTATATGCTATTTTTCCTATATGCCTTCAAGAACAGAAACGTATTGAAATGAATTATGAATCTGTTTCGTGTGAATTTCATGTATTTGAATTTGAAGTAAAAACTAACCAAGCCAAACTCTAAAAACCTTCAAGCTAACCGACATGTACAGTTGACGCAGGTTATACTGATTTACCAGAAACAAGAGGGTAAACTACCTTAATAGATGTGTTATTTGTTATCGCTAATCATGGTAGCACGCGTACGCTGCACGTGTTACTAGTTACTCGAGGTTTGTGAGCTGATCGGAAACTATTATATGATAAGCATCCGAGAATCTAAGAGAGATCGAGACGACATCCAAATTGAAGGTTATGTAGTATATCATAACTTGTATGCTTCTCTCGAGGGTAATAGAGTCTGATATACGCCTTTTTGTAGGCGAGGGATGACACTGCTACAAAAAGGCGTACATCAGACCCGAGGGAGAAGCATACAACGTATTTATCTTACCGCCATTAAATATACAAAATATCATTCTAGTTTATGTTGAAGATCGATAACCTCGCTACCGACAATATGACATCTGTTATGACAAAATGGCGTCTGCCTCTCGAATGGATTTTTAACATCAGTGAAGCATATTCTGACAAGCTTAAAACTGCTATAACATGATTAAATATTTTTAAGTTGAGTGTCCAAACGATTTAATGTTTAAATAAAGCAATGATAGTCGGTAAAATAAATGTGTACATAGTGAACTCTGAAACAGCTAATCGAACGGTTTTCGAACTCCGTGCTCTGCATGCGTCATATTATGACGTCATACGATTGTTAGCGATACAGCTTCTCTGCGGAGAGTTTGGCGGTTACCGTGGCAGCGGGTAATATTTTTTCCAGTTGTCACCCTCCTGGGAGGGGTGACACGGAAGCTTGTTAAAGCGTCATTGACCAATGAAATTAAAGTATTTTACATGAAGGTAAGATAAAATCCATCAAACAGAGACTTAACTGGACAAGGCGATCAAGTGGAATAGGAGCACTAGTCAAGGATGATATTAGCTAACATTTTAGTCTTAGTGTTATCTATCTTCTGTTTACTATGTGTTAAATTTAACTTGTTTTTACAGCAGAATGTATTTGCTATATGTTCTGAAAACGTTGTTTGTTATTGGCGATGTAACTGCAAGGACTGGCTACAAGATTATTGTGTATGTGGCAAACATCATATTGAGGAGTTGGAGCTTAGTGCTGAAGAGCTGGCTGAGGAACTCAAATTTAGATTCTGTGGTTGTATTTATGAATTATGCATGCCTCGTACTCGCTAAATTCACAATAAATCTTCCATTATTAAATACGATTATCCACTTGTATATATTTGTAATGGGTTTATTTATCTGCAAAAGGCCTTTTGGGAAATGCTAAGTTGTTTCAAAAGTACACATGTAAAGGCAATGTGTGATAGACGATATATGTTCTATCTGCATGCCATCATGTTTTCAGTATATATTCCCATAGTATACGACCAGTAGACCAGTAAGGAACTGCTCACATAATGTATGTTGCACCGTAGGAATCTTGCTGACTCATCCCGTGAAAATATCGATGCAATTCAACTATCCATCAATAAAGCATAGGCAGATCTAGAGAAACCGGGCTATGTTATTAAGAGATTGGTGGGGTAGTCTAGTTGATAAAGCGTTCGCTCGTCACGCCGAAGACCCGGGTTCGATTGCCCACATGGGTAAATGTGTGAAGCCCATTTCTGGTGTCCCCCGCTGTGATATTGCTGGAATATTGCTAAAAGCAGCGGGTTCGGGAGCACATAAATCATGAAGTCCTGAGGTTAGGGGCAAATGATATTACCAATATCTAAAACAACTACCTTCGTTCAGCAGGTACACATTTTGAACTATTCACACAGACTGGCTGTGCCAGGGAAAACAGACAGCTTTGTGAAACATTTCATTACAATACATTATTGTAAAATTTATAAATATGTTTACATTTAAACCCTTATTTTGTTCATTTTACCTTAAAGAATTAAAACAATGAATAACTCAAAAATCTATTCAGTAAGTTGCAAATTAACACACTATGTTTGCCATTCTTCCATCTTGTGGAAGTTGCGGTGGCTGAGTGGGTAAGATCGCTGACTTTGTGTGCTGATGATTAGGTGCCTGTTTGTGAGAGTATGGGTTCGAATCCTGGATAGGACCCAACCCAACACAATTACTAGAATCGGTACTTTACTGAGAAAGTGTAATCCCAAATATAACATGTGTTACATTTGACCACTTTCTAAATGGCATTGTGTATTCACATATGTCATGTAAATAAATGATAATACTCTATTTTGTTATTTGTTTATGTTCCCCCAGTAGCGGTTGTTATGGGGATGTAAACTGCACTTTATTTTGCGAAGGTCGTGGCTCTTCCGGAGAGACGAATGTGTTATGCAACTGCCGACTAAACACGGTCACATTGATGGATGGATACGCGTCTTAGGAGATTAACGTACAGTTTACTGCAAGTACGGCCTGGAGCTGTTTTTCGGGCTGCTTAGCAACGTAGATTACAGCAATACATGTATGCACAGGAATATTTTACCAAAGCGGAACGAGTGGCAGCCGGATTTACTAGCGTTTTAATTTATGGGTTAGAGTGATTGAGTTTAGTTTTACGCCGCTTTTAGCAATATTCCAACTATATCACGGCGGGGGACACCAGAAATGGGCTTCACATATTGTACCCATGTGGGGAATCGAACCCGGGTCTTCGGCGTGACGAACAAACGCTTTAACCACTACGCTACCCCACCGCCCCTATGGGTTAGATGTTGGTTGGTTCTTGTTGTTTAACGGCGCACAATATTCCAGCTATATGTCGGCGGTCTGTACATAATGTAGTCTGGGCCTCACAATCCAGTGATTAACATCATGAGCATTGATCTACAAATTTAGGATGCGATGACGTGTGTCAAGCAAGTCAGCCAGCATGACCAGCCGATCTCGTTAGTCGCCTATATCGACAAGCATGGGATGCTGAAGACCAAATCTAACCCGGTAGTGCTAGGAAAGAGTGGATGGGGCACCTTTGCCCTGTTAAATATTACTGCTGTAATCTTATGAGAGTTTACTGAATAAGGTTCCCCCTCGGTTCAGTGAGTTAGATTTATCCACAGGGAGTCAAACATAGGACATCGGGAACCTGTTCTGTCACTGAATCTCCACAAGTCAAACACAGATTCCACAGGGGAGTCAAACACAGGACATCGGGAACCTGTTCTGTCCCTGAATCTCCACACAGGTCACTGGGAGTCAAACACAGGGGAGTCAAACATGGGCCACACTGAATCTCCACAGGGGAGTCAAACACAGACCAAACCTGGGAGTCAAACATAGGACATCAGGGAACCTGTTCTGTCACTGAATCTCGGGAACCTGTTCTGCCACTGAGGGAGTTAAACACAAACACAGGTCACTCTCCACAGGGGTCAAACACAGGTCACTGGGTACAGGTTGTGTCCCTGAATCTCATCATACATGGTTCCTGTCACTGTCCCAGAGGGAGTCAAACACATGTCACTTGGAACAGGTTCTCCCTGAATCTCAACAGGGAGTCAAACACAGGCACTGGGAACCTGTTCTGTCACTGAATCTCCAGATGGAGTCAAACACAGGCACTGGGATCCTGTTCTGTCACTGAATCTCCACAGGGAGTCAAACACTGGCCACTGGGAACCTGTTCTGTCACTGAATCTCCACAGGGAGTGAAACACAGGCACTGAGAACCTGTTCTGTCACTGAATCTCCACAGGGAGTCAAACATGAGTACCCAACTGGGATCTGTTCTGTCTCTGAATCCCCACTGGGAGTCAAAATAAACCCATGCGGACGACACTTCTTCGTGTGTAAAGATCTATGATCCTGCATCATTTAGCGTGTATCTATAGAGTGAGACTTACACAGTAGAGCTAATTGGGACCAGTGTAAATTAAATGATTGTCAATCAGAATGATTGTCAATGGCAAGTCCATATCAACAATACCGCTACAGATATTGTATAACTCTTTCATCTATATTTGATTATTGTGATGTATTTGGAGTAATTGTACATTGAGTCAGCACATTCTGGATCATTTACATCGAGATGCGCTCTGGTGCATATATGAATCGTTTGGAGGCGTCATTAAAAATTTTATGTGAAACTGGTTATGCGACTGGAGGTATTCGTCAACAATATCACGAAATGTGGCTTTTCCACATCATATTTACTATGAAAACGGCAACATATTTATGAGACCAGTTCCACTGAATGTTTCTATTTCCTCCACATCATGATACCGGGGCATCCAGCATATACCCAGTACTAGTCTACTTCCACCAGTATTCTTCAGAATTAGACACCCTTACCCCACCCCACACAATTTTCCCAACACTGGCAGGGTGTTACAACCCCGAACATCAAGCAGCGGGTGGAGCCCACTATCTCATTCGGGGTTCTCATGGTAGGCTTGGGTCCGTGAAATGAAATACGTAGTTTAAGGCGCGTTTAATACATCGATTTTATCACCAATGTTTTGGAACATAGTTAATGCCTCAAATGGTTCTACGCCTCGCTGTACATGTTGATTAACAAATGTTGGGAAGTAGAAAGAAATCCTCAGTTCATCCCGCAAATAGAGCGTTGAACAGATTATTGATCAACCTTGTCTTGCACTGACTGACCACAGCAGCACAAGTTGTCCAGCTGCGGGAAAGAACAGCCAGACAACACACTCATTGTTCCCTTGTACGTTTATCGCATCATGCAATACCCCGCGCCGATATTCTCCGTGTTAGGTCAGTTTGACCCATCGTTCGTATAACCCTCAACACGTCCAATAACCTTTGGACATTGAACTTAGTTCATGACAGTGACAACGTATAACATTTTTACTGAAGAGAACAACCCATGGAAAGTAAATATATTGAAAGAATCATCATCATCATCATTGATCGAATCATCATCATCATCATTATCATCGTCATCGTCGTCGTCATTGCCAGATAAGTAGCTAGCATCCCTCACAGAGGGATTAAAGTATGAAGTTCGAAGAATACTCGACTACCAGCTCCCGCCACCCCCTGCCTCCGATTCTGGTCAAAGCTGTATCAGTGCCTTGATGTATGATTCTGGTGGGAATTAATCCGATTTCAAGGCGGCCTTCTCTGCTGGTAATTAGTGCTACGTTCGGAATATATCCGGTATGAAATTAACCGCATTAGACTACCAGGATATCGTAATGAGATAGAAATCCCACTGGGCAGGCAGATTAGAAGTTATTCAAGAGAGCTTGGGGTTGCGAATGAAATCTTGTTTTATGCTATGTCCATGTTCCAAGGACCTGTCCCAGTCACCTTGAGGCAATTATTGTAAATGATTCAGTATCTCGCCAACTAGATAGAGTTTTTACTACAAATAATCAATCTTTATTTCTTGTTGTGGAGGCCACAGGCCAATTCTTCATTGATAATTGGCTATGAGAGAGTATATACAATATAAACAATAACATACGGTTCGGTTATGTTACAATATGTACAAATGAATGTCTAAGTCGCATAGCATTATATACATACACTGCTAGATTTTTTTAAGTTTCTGGATTTACATTTGACATTAACACGTTATATTTATGTGCAGTATGATTCAAATAGTATTTATTTGTCAAATATAGAGGCCTTAGACGTTGGTATGCGTTACATGTTGATAAAAAATTGTACTCGTCTTCAATATATCGTTCTTTGCATACTAGGCATAATCTATCAACATTAGTCTCTATACTTCTTTGATGGGCATTTTAGAAGTTGAGTTGATGAAGAATAATGACAATTATTATGGATATACAACTTCTTTTATTCTGTGGAGGCGACGTTTCGACATAGGTTGCTTGACAACGACATTAGACATTAGAACCTATGTCGAAACGTCGCCTCCACAGAATAAAAGAAGTTGTAGATCCATAATAATTGTCATTATTCTTCATTAGTCTCTATAACATATCTGCCAGTTTCAATTCGAAGCCGGTGTGAAAAACATCTACGTTTTTACTTTATATGTTGGGACCCTAGGGTTAAAAGTGATTGTTTGTTGTTTAAATCCGCACTCAGCTATACTCAAGCTGCACGACGGCAGTCCGTTAATAATCGAGTTTGGACCAGACAATCCAGTGATTAACACCATGAGCATCAATCTACACAATTGAGATACGATCCATGCTTGTCGTGAGAGGCGACTAACGGTATCGGATGGCGAGGCCTTCTGACTTGGTCGACACATGTCATCATATCCCAGTTGTGTATATCCGTGCTCATGATGTCAGTCACTGGATTGTCTGGTCAAGACTCGAATATTTTCAGACCGCCGCCATATTACTGGAATATGGCGGAGTGCGGCGATGAACAACCATGAAACGGGATCACTGGTCACAGCACGTTGAATAATCAGGCTCAAAGCTACCTACCTTGCAGAACTCCACAGTACCTCAACAAAAGACACAACAAGCGGCTGTTGACCCCCTTCTTCACTAGACAAGGTCATATGACGCTTTGCTAAGTTGAGCCAGTAATAATCTTGTCGATGAAAGTATCAATTAGCGTCGGGCCCTGACAACGTAGCTGTTGTTGCCATAGCAACAGCTGTTGCGTGACGGGGTCAGATCGATTCGACGCACACAAGCATGTCAGGCTCGGCATACGAACAATGCCATAGTTTCCTATTGACTTAATTAACAATTGTGTAAAGACTCATAGTGTCACACTGTAACAATAATCATCATCCTTTTGTCCACGTGTTCTTACTTACGGTTTCAAAAACTCACTGTATCCAGAAACGCTAGTTAATTAAATCGCGATACAATTTAGCTTTGATGTGCTGATTCAATACGGCAATATCAGAACCCCCATCACTAATTCATTACCTTGCGTTTATCTTAATTGCGATTTTATACATATGATTATTTACAAACTGTTTAGACCCTAAATTAGGTCTTTATCTGACGCGATTGAGGAATCCGCTCGCATAACGTGTACGAATAAGATTAAAATATAAATCATCACCCGTCGCTATTGTGAAATAAATTCTGTAATCAAACTTAAAAGTTGGCTTGATAAGAATGGAAGTGACTGTTTAATTTAATAATTATTAAATTTAATCCTTATTAAAATAATAAAATACAGTATTTGTGTTAATGTATTAATTATATTTCATCCATCGATTGCACGTTCTTGGAACTATTTTTAGCAACCAAATGCGAAATTGCGAGTGGAAGAATACAGTTGTCAAATATCATCTGAAAAACGGAAAGTTGGCATATGTCCGAACATCGCATATTCAGCGAAGTGTTCAACCTGTACAAACAGCGATTTGAAGATCGGCATATTTTCAGTTGATATTATTTTGAGACATAGCAGTCAACACATGGCTTAAAGTAAACACACATACACATAAGGCCAAGTTACAGGTCTCAAATCAAAATAGACGGCGATAATCCCTTTAGGTATTCGTATATTCCCAACGCAGCAGTCAATATGGCGGTGTTTACATTCGAGCTAAAATTACGTGACGAGACGATTTAGTAACTGTGACAGAGCTTGTGGCATGCGCTGCCATGGTGGAACTTAATTATTTACAGGTTACAGCGAGTCCGTTTAGTGACATTTCGTGTCATTTTTAGATTGTATTGGCAAGGCACATCTGGTGGTTAGAGTGGTCGAGTGAACGTGTGAGGGTTTACTGAGAGTGATTACCAATAACGAAGCTTAAACTAAACTGACGAATAAAAGAAAGTACACACTTGGTGCTTGGGGATTGGTTTCCAAAACACAGCGTAAATATTTTGAAACGTATATTACATGCTAGATGAGGGATACTTGTTCATAATTAGCCTCGTCGCTTAGGTAAGTCATACTTCAGATGATTCAGATATGAGACGGACTCGACATACATACATACATGCATACATACATACATGCATGCATGCATGCATGCATACATACATACATACATACATACATACATACATACATACATACATACATACATACATACATACATACATACATACATACATACATACATACATACATACATACATACATACATACATACATACATACATACATACATACATACATATATATATACATACATACATACATACATGCAAGCACGCATGCACACAAGCATACACATGTGTAAAGCAAAACACCATTAACACCTACTACTTCGACATATCCGAGGTTCGGGACAACCGGATGTTCGACACACCTTTGTTTGATTGTATTACCCCGCACAAGGTATATACCCTTTATATAGCAGCGGCCTGATTATGTATCCTTCGTTTGGTGACTTATACATGGTAACAGATGTGGCATACAATGCGACTGTGGAGATTCAATAGGATGAATATGCTCACCAGAAGTTTGGGACATTTTGTTTTTCACAACTAGGTAATCAACATGCGTGTGCAGTGAAATTTAAATTTCACACGTGCAACTAGCACACCTGGCTGTTCTACCAGCAAGTAGTTCCCTCTCGTAAGAAATAGCATAAAGTGACAACAAAATAATTATCGTTTGTTAAACAATTGCTTTATTCGGGTGTCCAAAATTATGAGACAAATCATCAGAGTTGGTGTGTCGATTTCACGGGACTGTGCAAAATTTGGTTTGGTCGCATTTATTAGATTTTGTGTTAGTGAGCAAGTTGTCTCAAATTAAATCAAACGGACTATAGTGGTTAAAGCGTTCGCTCGTCACGTCATTGTGTGAAGCCCATTTCTGGTGTCCCTGAAGTGGCATTGTTAAAATATTTTGATAAAAGCGTCGTAAAGCCATACTCACTCTTAACTCCGCGTTTACCACCCCACACCCACGCACGCCCAAATATTCAAATCCATGTCAACAACATTGAGGAGGTTTCTGAAGTGAATACATTATAAGGTTTTTCAAACTAGAAGGGTGAGTGAGTTTAGTTTTACGCCGCACTCAGCAATATTCCAGCTATATGGCAGCGCTCTGTACATAATCGAGTCTGGACCAGACAATCCAGTGATCAATAGCATGAGCATCGATCTACGCAACTGGGATACGATGACATGTGTCAACCATAACAGCAAGCCTGACCACCCAATGCCGTTTGTCGCCTCTTACGACAAGCATGGGTTACTGAAGACTAGAAACGACCCCTGACCTCGGTAGTCTACATGCGGTTGTGCGATTTGTTGTAACTCAGCTATGACCCATTACCAAATGATTATTATTTGTCCAAATTGTAGTGTATGTAAGTTATGAATAACCACTGAATACGTAAACTGTAGGCTCCCAGCACGACTAATGACTGACTGACTGAGTTTAGTTTTACGCCGCTCTTTGCAATATTCCAGCAACATCACGGCGGGGGACACCAGAAATGGGCTTCACACATTGTACCCATATGGGGATTCGAACCCAGGTCTTCGGCGTGACGAGCCAACGCTTTAACCATTAGGCTACACCCCAACACCCCCACCCCAGGACTAATGACTTGAGGCTACACATTAAAACATAACTCATTTACAAACAACATTGTTTAACCCGTCTCTCCGAGAACTCAGATACATCCGCAACTGTTTTTAAACAATGCATATTGGCGCTTATTATCAGGCGAATGCGGACGGTGTGCGTGCGTGTGTGTGTGTGTAAATACATGTGCATTGGGGGGATGGGTCAGGGGCATTAACATATTTTATTGTCGCTTCTTTCCAAGGCATGAAACATGTGTGACATCCCTTTGACATTTCTGTGAAATCAAGCAAAATACTTGGTAGTTTTTATCTATAAGTTCTTTACACTAAACATCACTTCGGCGTGCTACTAAAAGTGAGATTGACAATCAAAGTCATAAACGGAATTTGGCTTTGAAACTTAGCATGGGCCACGGGATTTTCAGTCACGCTATCCTTGTGTTTGGGGATCGGTATTTTGACATTACACGTCAGCTGAAAAGGCAGTGAACGTGTTGTAAACATATGTTATTTTCGTCCTCATTATGCCTCGATTCGTCAATAAGACATGTTATATAAAACTCCGCCTCTGCAATCGTCCGTAGATCGCGTACGCAATCAGCGGCGTGCCAGATATTGGAAGAAGCGCCTCTACAATACTTAAAATATGCCACACGATTCTCTTTCCTTGCAGTCAACTTTAGATTGTTATTGTTTATCTAAACTGTATACACTATGTATGATTTGTAAGGCACAACCAAAACACTTTGCTAAATATTTACATTGTTTGCTTTTTTCAGTTTTATTTAAAATGCCGCCAAAGCACAAAGTGTGTACTCACTTTGTACGTCAGAATATAATTCTGACGTTTTATAAAAAGGCCATATGTGTACATAAATACACCAGCTTTCATTTTACAATGATAGTTGGGTACCTTACTTTATTTATCAACATTATTTAACATAAAGGTTTTTCTCATTAACGTTGCACAACTCACTAAACAATTCACTAAACAATTCACTAAACAATTCACTAAACATTAAAAAAAAAAAGGTGAATGTTATAATAATATAAATTAATTATGATATTTATAATAAATTGACTGGAACAAGTTAGGATTATTCCAATAAAACCCTATTGAAGTTTTACTAATAAAAAATGGTTATAAACTTTGATTATCCCCAGCACCAAGTAAAACCACATCATGTCCCAGTGTTTATTTATAACGGCCGTTCCTGCATTCTTTACCAAGTCGTCCATACGAACCGAGAATGTCCAAAATGATACTCAGTTTCTAGTATTTATTTATGTTCTTGATACATACATAGTTTACAAAAGACATGATTCACAAAACTTTGAAGATCAGTCTTATAGATTACAAGATCGTAATCTTTGTACCAAGGTAGTAATTTTTGTACTAAGGTAGTAATCTTTGTAGGAAGGTATTTGATACTTCAATATCATCAAAGATTTGTTATCTGATCCAAACAGGGGAATTCATCGTAAGCAACAATAATTCTTTAACATTTGAATCCTAAGGCACGCGATTACATTGATTGTGGATAAAATTAAGTATGACTTGGCTTTGGATATGTAATATAATATTGTCTGTCTGTTCCTATACGTGTACCACCTTGCTCCTATTGTGAAATGGAAGCATTGAGAAGGTAAGAAAAACGAACACTTACGTTATAACTGACGAACATCCCCAAAGCATTCTGTGGCAGTTGGGTGATCAAGCTACATGCGACAAGAAACACGCCACGACAAGAGAATGTTGCAGAACGAAATCTCGCCACTTGTTCAGGTACGCTGCATGTTGATGCAGGTGAGTATGGCACGCACTACAAATTATTTTCGGACGTGACTGGCAATCGTAATGCGTATTTTTTCCTCTATCTCCTTTTCTCTCTTTCTTTCTCTCTTCGTGTGTGACCGAAAATGGTCATTTGTCCTCTCTCTCCCTCTCTGCCCTCCCTCTCTCTCTGCCTCTTTGTCTGTCCCTCTCCCTCTCTCCCTTCCCCCCTCTCTCCTCCCTACTGAATCCCTGTCTCTTT